TAATAATTCAAGTTACTATAGACAATTGTCAAGACAAATTTTTTATCATTTAATAAAGCTAGCACCGTAAATGAGGGAATTCCGAGAACAATTAAATAGTTATTAAATCACGCACAATCGAACGAAGCAAAAAAGACGTACACTCATTATATAAAAAACAGAGGTCGATCGACCTCGAACCGCTAGAGAAGTTCGGTACTTCAGCACCGCAACTGGTGGCGAAAATGTCAACTACATTTGATATTTTTTAGGAGAGAAAATTAAAAAATTTTAAAATTAATAATAATGATAATAAAAATAATGATAGCTTCCAATCTTGATTTTATTTATAATCATTTTTTTCCATAACCGAGGTTTGATTGTTCGTGGCTGGCCCAAGCTTGGACTAACATCAAACAGCTGAAGCTTGGCTGCTCAAGGACTGATCCAAGCTTGGACCAACATCAAATAGCCAAGGTTTGGTTGTTCGTGGTTGGCTGAAGCTCAGACTAACATCGAATAGCCAAGGTTTGGTTGTTCGTCGCTGACTCAAGCTTGGATTAACATCGAATAGCCGAGGTTCGGCTGCTCACGGGCTGGCCCAAGCTTGGGCGAACATAAAAAAAAGTTCCATTAGGTCGACCCAGGCCTGGGCCGGCGTTGAAGAGCCGAAGCTCGGTTGCCCAGAGTTAGTCCAAGCTAGGCCCCGTCGTTCAAGACTGGGAGTTCCTACATGGGTTATACTATGTAACTAGCCTAGCAAGTCTAGGTCGTGAATGCTTTAATAACAGAAAGTAAAAACCAGCTTCGTTTATTTTATGAAATAGATACAACGATTTTACAAAATACCAAAACGTACAGTCAAAATCAAATGAAAATAAAAACAAAGAAAACAGAAACTCAAAACCAAAATAAAAATAAAAAACCGAAAAGAATAATGAAATTAAAAATAGGTTTACCCTTACGTTATATTATAAATAGTCTTCGAACTTTGTCCGAAATTGAAATGAAATCAGGGTAGAGAAAATATTCTCACATTTCACAAATGGTAGTCTTAGAAGGCGTCCATGGACGCTACGATGTCTACTACGGTTGGCGGGAGGTCTCATGGTGTCGATCAATGGCCATATGGATCTGCTTGGTCCATTACAATTTATAAAAGAAAAATTATGTTACAGTAATCATGGAGCTGGGCGATTGTTACATTTAGCAATCAATTATTCCGATTGATTGATCGCCAAGGAATCAATACCTATACGGTACTTCTCGTTGATTTGGAATCATGAAATTTGGCAAGAGTTATATCTTATAGCACAAGTAAAGGAAAAAATCGAAAACCGTAAAGGATGGGTGTCAATAAGATAGGTATATTTTCCCCTGAAGAATTTTTGCTTTTTATTCATGTATATATTTACTAAGGGTAATTGTAATTAAGATAAAAGCCAAATAAGTTATTAACCCCAACGACAACTTCAGTATATGCGAATAATTTTCAACAAGATGGTAACAGTTGAATGAATTGTGTATTCAGTCATCATCATCATAAGGTCNCAAGTAGATATCCATATTTTTAAA